GTATGGGTTCATAAATGATTTATATGAAAATATTTATATTCCCTCAGGTTATCTGGGGAAAACTGACACGAGGGGGTTATCTTTAACAGGTTATTTATTCCACTCCACGGGATATCAAGGGAATCTTGACAAATCCTCACGGATGATTACTTTGCTAAAAATGACTAAAAATGGGATATTTTTTTCTCAAAGTATACTAGATTCTGGATGAAATTCAACAAAATCTTCTTCATAACAGATGATTTTTAGTGTGTTGCTTTTACAACTTAATTTTCATAATTTTGTTGTAGAATTTTTCTAAGATTTAAGGTTCTTCTTAATTCCTGCATTATACATGTTTTCACTATTGAACTCACTTTGCAAGAAAATTTAGTCAGAGCTGGGGAAATAAGGAGGAAAAAAGTATCAATTGAATAAACAATTTGCTGGCAGAGATGAAATAGAACTGTTAATTTCTGATTATTTCTTTACATGCTTTCCTTTAGCTTCCCTTATGCATTTGCTACATTAAAATATATAAAAAACAAACAACACTTGAGATCATAATTCTAAATTTTCTTGCAAAACAATTAGTAAATCGCTTTTTTTTCTTGTTTTTTGCAAAAACTTTTTCAAAAATATTCAACTGAGAAAAAATTGTTGCTAATTAAAGCAATCAAAAGCACATGCAAAAAATAAAAAAAAAACAAAAGTTGAATTTTTACGTTGGTTTTGAGAACAAAATAGGAGCATCTCTATTAGTTAATAATCTGAAAACCTTCGGAAATGGAAACACGCAAAGGAACCTTGTTCCTAACTTCTACAATAAATAAAAACTTCTAAAACAACGCTTCTCAGAAAAATTACTTTCAAAAAGGAACTCAAGGTACAAATTGTAACAATTGAGTATTTTGCGAAATAAATTAAGCAAGAACTCTATAGTTCTTTCTAATTTTCGAATTGAAAAAAATTGAAGCTAACAAGAACAGAATCTTTACTGCATGTCTATTTGAAAGTTTTCAAAATAAAATTTATGTAATCAACATCTGCGTCTGCTAAAGTATCAGCTTAATTACAAAATTCGGCAAGCTCCATATTACTTTGTCTAAAAACCTTTTGTCATCAATTTTTTTGATTTTTTTAACCGAAAATAATGTAACATAGATCCTGAAAGCGAATTTATGCTTTGATTTATGTATCATCTTCCAAAAGATGTCGGATTTGAGTTTAATTCCCTAGAAATATTCCCAAAACATCTGAATTTTCATATAAATTTACTTAATACTGGATTTTATTATATTGGATAATGTGGATAATCTTGGATTTTTTCTCAAGATATAAATTATAAGCTAAATCTTAGTAAAATTATCTCAAAACGACTAACTGATTAAAAATTTTTTTCTATCTAAATTTAGTGTTTATTCAGTTTCTGCGTCATCTACTATCCTCCAGCTTGATCCAACCTTTTAAAATTTTACTTAAAAACTGAATTTTTAATAGAAAATGTATAATTTCAAACAACTTTCAAAAATCTCAAGCACAATTAAAACCATAAGTCCTTTGCTAGGAAACTTCAAACATTTTGCTCAACCTGATATCTGTTTGTTGCTGTTTCAACCCTGAATTTCTAATTTGAAGTAAGTTTTTGGCTGAGAATTATGTATAATATTATCTTGGAACTTTCAAATTTAAAAAAAAACGTATATTTTTTCATCTTTTCCAGGTCAGTTATCAATTTCTTTTATGAACCAGAAGAAAACCATAATTCTTAGTAAATCAGTACTTTTATCTGCTTAACAACGCACTACCTTATGAACAAGCACTAAACAAGTAAAACTTTAAAATGATAACTAGGCATAACTTTTCAATTAGTCAATGTTTTATAAATATCGAGTTTTCTACAATTTTTTAACAAATACTTATTGTTTCATTAGCGTAATTTATGCAATTTTTCTACAAATTTATCCTTACAAAGTCTCCGAAAGCTTGCATCCAAATTTAGTTTTTTCTATAGAATAAAGGTTTTTGGATTGAGTTTCAATAGAATTTTCACGACAATTTGACCTCAATTATTGCTGGTTTTATTGTCAATCAGAACCTTTGAATAAAAAAATGACAGATAAAGTTTTAAGATAAATAAAAAAATGAGATGAATTAAAATGAAAGAATTGATATGAATTTTTTCTAGAACTTTTTCAAATTTTTTGTCTAGACTTTTCAGATTCAGTGAGAATTTGGATTCATAGTATTTATCCTATAATTGTAATTAAAAATTTTTAATTTTACCTTCTCTTGGGGTGTGTTTGGAGACTGTTGGGCACATAATTTAACGATATACTGACAAGAAGAATGATTCTTCCTGATATGATTAGTGAGTTCATCGTTGCTATTTAGAAATATGAAGGTTACAATTAGAACCTTTTAAAACGCCACAGCGCTTACGATGTCCTGATGCATGTAAGCAAGTGTATTTTCTGCCTCATTCAAGACATGCAACTCTTTCAGTTCTATTCAGTGGTGGCATCTCAAAAAAGAATAAATGGTAGATTTAGAATGTCCCAAAGTTTTAGATAAAAAGAGTTTAATACCCTCAAAAAAAATATAAAAGTAAGCAAAAACAGCAAATTTCTTAACCAATTGATCCTAACATGAACAAAAATAAAAATGAATTTTACCCTGTTTAGCCAAGCTGAAATAAAAATCCTCTAATCTATCCATGAAGTTTTCAAAAATTTTGATATCAACTAACCAGAATCGAGTATTCCTTCACAGATATTGTTTGTGGTATTAACCAATCAGAATGAAGTATTCACAGATTGTAAAAGTTTATAAATCAGAAAAAATTTCCAATTATTGAAATTTAATGAGTTTTTTTTCTACATAACTAAAAAATAGAAATGACACCAAAATGAGATAAATGAGATTACTTGTCTGGGTTATATTTTTTGGTACTCAATTCAAACTTTGAAACTTGGGTCAAAATTCTGTAAATTTGTTCTGTTTCTAACCAGTGAAAAGAGAAATTACCAAAATATACAGTTTCCTTGTTTTCTTTTTGGTATATTGTAATTTAAACAACCGAAAGTATTTAAATTTGGAAATTCGATTAAAAGACAATCTGACAAATCTAGATTTTGCATTTGTATCAAACTCAAAACAGTACCCAAAATGATGTTCCTTATCTTCAATTTTTTGTTTCATATGCTCTTCCAATGTTTAGTTTTTTACTGATTGACCACTCAATCTGAAAAAACTCTTCTAAATAAAAACACTATTGATGATTTTTTGCAGTACTCTTCTTCTCTGATATATATCCATCTTTATAACAAAACAATTGAACTTTCTGTTTCTCTACAAGTTATAACTAATACAATCTCCATCAACGTTTTCTGTCCAACACTCCTGTAGTTTTTTGTTGTAGTTCAAAATTAAAATCTTATGAACGTCCATTTCAACCATTGAAAATGCGTTTGACAAAAACAGATTTCTTACTGAAATTAACAAAGAAACTTTAAAAACTCGAATTGTTGTTTCATTTTAAATTTATTTTGTAATCACCATAAAATGTTTTCCCACATTTAGAGTCTAATGTTTAGGAAACTTATGTAGCTAATCAAAATGTCAAGTTAAGGTAAATAAAAATGAAAACAACCAATGAAATACAGAAATACAAAAATTTTTGATAAGGTTTTCAACTACATTCGTGTTTGTAATTTTGTTCGAATTAGACAAAATTTACTTAAGTTGAGATAAAAACAGTAAATAAAATAAGTTTTTCTGAAAATAATTAAACAAATACAGGAAATCAGCTGATAATTGCTTAAAGTTTCATTTCAATTTCGATTAAATTGTCTGTTTTGTCTCAGTTATCCTCAGATATCCTAGCTCTAAATGTACACTTCAGTGAGGAAAAAGTGTTTTGAGCTAATAATATTTCAATTACCAAACATAGAAAACATCACAAATCATTACTGAGGCTTACAACTATCAACAAACATAAGGTTTGCCAAAATTGGGACAGTTCTTTCAATTCATAGGCAACTTGTTTCATTGCTTCATTCTCTTTCGCTGCGAAGAGACGAATCCGAATGTGGGGCGGCTTGTTCACATTGTATTGTACTGCTTGTTCGTGACACAAGCTTGTCTTCTATAGTAAGTTGCCGTGTCTCACATTTTGTTGCAGTTGTCAAGATCCTGATCCATAGTTGATTTTTTGCGAGAAGTGAGTTCCAATATAGTATTGAGTCCATGGTTTCCAGTATCGTGAATAAAAGTATTCAAAATTGCCGATAATGCTTATCCATTTTTTTAAAAATAGACTTGTTGGCACTTTTCAAATCGTCCCAAATCGTTGATTTTTAAAAGTTGAAAGCAGAGTTCAAAATAAAATTTCCCCTTGTAGGAATTTTGGAATCACACAAATTTTGGAATCACACGTTTGATTTTTTGAGAATTCAATAGAATTGGGACTAGTGTCTTTTCTTGAGTAAATTTTTGTTTAGCAAAGTACGTTTTTGAGAATTCAATATAATTGGGACTGGTATCTTTTCTTGAGTACATTTTTGAAGAGCAAACTGATGAAGAGAAATGAGAAAAATGATTTTGAGATTAAATGAAAATGGAAGTAAATAGTATGACTCATCATGGTTTCCATAAAGGGAAGTAGCACCAAAAATGGAATGTTTTATAAGAAATTTCAAATTCAAAATTTTGTAGGCGTTATTTTTACTATATAAATCCTAATTCTGAGTATAAATCCTTGTTCTAGATGGCTGCTGCTATGTGTCAAGCTCGTCACAGCTTCCAATCAGATTATTTTAAAAAATCGCTATTTATTTCCGTTTCAAGTGATTTTTACGAAAACTACAAGTGGCACATGATTATTGCGTCTCCATCCACAACTCTTTATGTTCTTTGGAGAATTGAATCAGTTGTTTAGATTTCACACGTTTTATTTATTTTGTTCAGCTTCACTTGATCATTCGAAGGATTTATTGGAAGTTTGAACTTCATCAACTGGACAACTGTAAAATATTCAGTGAATACATCAAAACAACATCAGTTTACTCAACAATCCATTTGATTCTATAAGATTTTTGTTAAACTAGCCACCAATACTTTAACTCTTAACTACAATCATGTCAACTATCTCAGTTTCGTTTCCCATCCAGTTCATTATCATTTTGTGCTCGTTTGCAGGTTCCTTGACAAAAAATATTAATGAAAGAAACAATACCAAAGCTCTGTTCAGTTTTTCGGGGCCGATTCAGTCCAAACTGATCGGTGGTTTCAGAAGTAGTGCCAGACCTTTTTTTGTCAAACTTCATGCTGAATTTGGCGCCAATCGCAGAGATTATGAGTTTTGTGGGGGAGTTGTGATTCACCCCAAATGGGTGTTGACAGCTGCTCATTGCGTTGACCTCAAAAACAGTGAGTTGAATTCACATTTCGAGTCTTTTCTGTTTCTAAGCCCGAAATTCGTGTTTAATTTTATTTTGAAAAATGAATCATTATCCTCGAATCTGATTTTGTTAGAAATTAGCTCTAGCCAAATCTTGAGTCACATTATAATGAGAAGCTTATTCAACAGTTTGGCAATTTTGGGCCGTATAACAGAAAATACCAGAGATTTTTAGTGTTTCGACTTCATGTTGTGACTAAATAGGCCGAACCACGTCGGTATCATAGTTGACCAAAATTCTGTGGTCGCACAATAATGTAGTAGCCGGACCATTACTCGATCTGAGGGTCTAAACATGAAAACCGACAATGAAGTTTATTTTTTGGTAAGTGGATCAATTGAACATCCTCCCCCTAAATGGTCCGATTTGAGATCCGTCACCCAATTGTTGTTCCGACCATTGAAAATGGGTAGGAACTTTGTATTCTGGTGTGTTTTAGTTTTCAACGCAAAAAGAGGTACCACAAACAATGATCGCACCGGGTTGAGTAATATATCATTTAAAGCATTTTTCGTCATAACTTGAACCACATTAAATTTTTTCAAAAAGTTTTCAAAGTGTCGAGAAAAATCGGTTTGAAATTTTTTATTTTTGTCTTAACTCGAGCGAATAAAGCAAACGAGCAGTCTTAAAAACTGAATTATGCCTAATCTATTAAATTTTAATTTTAAGCAAGTAAACCAGTTTATGAACTTTTTTAGTTTCATTTTGGGAACCAAAAATTTCAAAAACTTTTTCATTTTTTTTTCAGTTTTTCTTGTCATTTTCTGCAAAGTTATTTGTCCAACTTGCTTATATTACTATGACTGTCTAATAAGCTTGAAGTACATTTTCACTCTAGAACCTTTTATCCCACCAAGCAGAAAAAAACTACACTTATTAGGAAAAAAAACTTTCTAAACCGTAGTTTTGCGAAGACTATGGTCGGATCATTCTGTGCTACATTAACCGACTATCCTTTTTTATTTAGATTTGAATCGCTTAGCTCTGCATAAATACTCCATTTTGATTGGCTTGAGTTTGCGAAGTTAGAATAATGTTGACACCTTTACCCCAAATACACCTGAAGGGAAAGGATTGAGCTGGCAATAGAGAATAAACTATATATTTTCGGAAAATTGTCGTTTTTTTTTCATTATCTGTTTTGTTCTTCCCAAGTTTTTCAACCAAAGGCAAATTCAAATTCAGCAGTTCTCATGGAAATGAACAATTTCTTTTTTTTTTGTTTCTTTTGTTTTTTTTGTGTAATATGGTTTGAAATAACAAACATTATAAAAAAAACGGTACAAAAACACGGTGCAAAAAACACGGTACTAAAGCTCAGTTTTATAACATTTCAATGATCTTAAAGACGCACTAATCTAATAGTTTTTTTTTTAATTTTGTTAAAACTTTTCTGTTCTTTTTTGTTTTACTGAAAAGTACTTTAAAAAAACGCTTTTAAAAGATGTTTACCTTATTTTTTAGTTTTTTTTCTAATAACTTTTTCAATCAGCATTTTTGACTGTAGTTGTGATTTTCAGCAATTTATTTCGTTCGAAAGTAAAATCTTTACCGAGTTGTTTTTGGCAACCGGGATGAGATGTGTCTAAACTAGACAAAGTCCCATAGTTGCGATTTTCAGCAATTATCTTTGAACAAAATAAAGAACAAATTGAATGAATTTTCAAAGTATAAGCAAAATTGACTGAAGTAAGAAAAAGTTACTACTTGAATCAGATTGCAAGTCCCAGCAGTCTTTTGATCAAAACACTTTAAAGTAAAATCGAGCTGGTTAAGAAACAAAGAAAGTATTTCTGAAAATATGAGCAGATAATATCAAAAATCAAAATGTAGAAGTATATTGGCGATATAAACAACCGAAAAAGGCTAGAAAAAGGAGTAATACCTAAAACTGAATCTCCATTTTCTTGAAAAACATTCGCTCATCACCGCAAAATCATGAATCCTTCGAGCTTTTTTGAAACTAAAACTAATAAGCCGCAAACTTTAGCTCTTGGCTTTTACTGAACCATTGCCAAAATTTAAAAAGATTATATGGAGTTTGATATTTTCAAATCGGCACGTTGTCAACATGTAGAAACAGTGAATGAAAACAAACGCGGTGCAGGTGTTGCTTTCTACGTAAGCGAAGGTATTTCATTTAATAAAGTTAAAGGACTGACTTCAGACAAAATGCAAATTTTTACTATTTTATGCGAAAACAGCATAGAGAAAAAATTTCCATTTGTTGTCTATAAAGTACTTCAAATAAGCAGTTGAAAGTTTCTTGATCAATTACAAGCGTATCTGTTCCGAGTAGAAAATACAGCCTGGAGATATGCACACTATATGTGGAGACATGAATGTTGATGTGTCTAAGTCGACAAGTGAAAAGTGAAAGTACAAGAATAACGAAAAGCAGCCAGTCGACAATAGATTTTTTTGTTTACCAATTTTTATTGGCTAGTAATGGTAGATCACAACTCTATATCGGATCACGAGGCAGTAGAAATTGAGACACAATTTCTGTCTGAGGACAAAATTTTGCTTAAAAAACATAATTTCGATTTTCGGGATAATTGGAACGTTTTGGATAACCATGAGACTTTGCCGAAGTTCAATTTTGCGCTGTGGCAGACCACTGAAAAATTAAGTTGAAAAATGATACTGAAGGTGTGAATGATTGCTTTTTACAGCTCCTCTTAGCTATCTTATGTACTTATGAAAAATTCCTAAGCTTCCAAAAAATAAAAGTAATTAAAATTGGTTAAGAGCTAAAATCAATTTATTAATGGTTAAGAGCTAAAATTTTCACGATTCTTTTTTGAAAAAGACCAAAAGCTCGTCGAAAGTATGGCAACACCACGGAATCTAAATATTTTGTAGAAAATGAAAAGGCAAATTTTTTTGGAAAATTTTCACCCCAGGAAGTTTAAGAAGGAAAAGAAAACAGCCTTGATAATCACAACCAAAATAAAAACCTGATCAAAAACTTTAATTCGGTTATATCTGAGCTAATCGGTTGCCTTTTTTTTAAATGTGTAGAGTTGTCATATAATCCTTCTTTCAGTTTTTAAGATTGCTTAAGTTCAACCAATTCATTAAAATGGCACATTTTCTTTTTCGAAAAATTGATTAATAAACGCTTGAGAACTTTTTGAATAAATCTGATAAAGTAACAGCAGGTTAGTACGAATTCCAAAATAATTAAGCACAGTTGATGCTGTCGTATTACTCACTGAACGAATAATGGAGAACTTAGAAGATGATGTTGGCTCCGGGTGTTCGTTGATAGATCTTGCAAAATCGTTCGACACGGTTTATCACAATAACTTATTTAAAAAACGCGAACAATACGGCTTACGAGTTAAAGTTGTTAATTTTTTGAGGTCAAACCTTCAAAATCGTAAGCAGTTTGTTTGTTATAACAATTCATTAACAGACACTAGAACAGTCTAATTTGGTGTACCACAAGGTTCAGTCCTGAGTCCTTTCTTGTTTTTGCTGTATACAATTGGTTTGCCAGATGTCTCCATGCATAAAAAAATGTAATTTTTGCTGATGATTGCGCACAGTATGCAAGGAACAAAACTACAACAGAAAATCAGTGGCTGGTGAACTCTGATACAAGCAATGCTGGAAATTAATTTTTGGAGTTAGCTTACCAAAAACAAAATGAAACAGCCACCTTAGAGTTCAACAGGAAGAAAATTTCTAACAATAGATCCCATAAATACGCAGGTCTAATAAACGATGAAAAAAAAATTTCAAAGCACACATCGAAAAAAATTTGAAAGGAAGAGTCAAATCTTGCTCAATGATTTATCAACTCAGATATTATTTCTACACATCTACACGTCTCAAGATATAAAAAACATATATTCAACCAATATATCATTATAGTGTACTAATCTATGGCACAGCTAGTAGGACAGACTTTTTAACATAGAAAGCTAATAGAGACAATTGTATAGGAATTGTTTTAAGAAAAAGTGGGAAAGTTTGAAACATATGTGGGACAAACATAAACTCTGTTTGGTTCGAGAGTTACACAATTATGAGCTTTGAGCTTTTTCAAGTCATGGCTTGTGGAAATAAGCAATTTCTTGGATACATAAATGAACATGAGATAACAGATACTAACAAAACAGGCAAAACAAGAAAAAAACTTTGCAGCCGACATAAGCCTACTATAAGAGCGAAAAAGATGATTAAAATTAGGGCTCGTATTTTGTATAATAAATTTCTACAATTGGATAAAAAATTTTTTCTTGAAGCGTTAACAACTACCAATGAATCTTTGGACTCGTTTTTTCATTTGTCAAGATCTCTTTGTCTCTTTTTAATTTTTTTGTGAAAATTGAAAAAAAAATGCGGTCCTTTTGTCTATATGATCTAAATTAGGCAGACTAATAGGTTTTGCTCATCGAGATGCCACCCGGGAGGCTGATGCCTTTTTCTTATTTTTACCAAGCCGAATTTAATCTCAAAAAAAAACATTTTCATAGAATGTATGCTTATAAGTTTTGGCTTAAAAAGAAAATTATATTGATCTTACTAATTTTTTGTTGCTTCGTGAGAGCCTCAGAAACATCGAAATCCATTACAAATCAGAGTCAAAAGTACGAATTTAATAACATGAATTTATATACTAATAAGTATTAAAGCACGAAAACGTGATGATTTTTAGTTTTCGGTGAGGGGGGGGGGGTTACATGCTCAAAATGATGTGATAAGCTCTTAAATAAATGAAGCCACAAATAAATTTCAGGGGGCATTCAAAAATTTCATTAGGTGCCAAAAATGCCGCTTTTGAGATCTATTTGGATCATTTTTACCAAAGATTTTTTTGGCGTCCCCCCCCCCCCCCCACCTCGCACCTTGCGTTTATTGGCCACCCGGTGCCTTAAGAAACTTCTTTATATGGTTTTTGGACCAAAAATTGATGCTGTAAAGGCGTAGCAAAATCGGTATACTTACTTTGGAACGCCAGAGAGGATCGATTCCCAGAAAAGGTTCCCCCCCCCCCCCACGCTAAGACCGCCCATTTTTAGCAGATTTATTTTGAGCGAGCGGGTGATGATAAATGTGGGAAGAAGATAAAAATGAAAATTTTCTCTTATGAAACTATTTTAGTGCATGACTAGTTATGAATGTCTGTTTGTTTCAGATGAGAAAGTGTCGCTAGAGTTTGCCGACTTCCGCGTTGGTGCGTCAAAGAGACTGAGTACATTTATAGGAGTCCAAGCCATGACTCTAGCCAAAAAGTGAGTTGCAATACAATTCACAGTAATCGGGCTTGTATGAATTGCGGTGATTCAATTAAGATTCTTCCGTTATTACTTGAAAACAAGTCGTAGTGCATTTAAAAACACGAAAAAACTGTTGGAATCTTTGAATATCCCCCCACGTTTTCGCAAACAGGTACAAAAGTTACATATTCTTAAACGTTGGTTTTTCATAGGGGTAGGAGTTACTGGGTACCATAGGGGGGATCGTTACAGAGATCCATTCTTTCACACAATTTGTCGGAGCTCTTCATGCTTTGTTAAGCATTAATGGTTGGTTTTTGGCGTTCAGGGTATGTCTTGTAATTTTTAAAAACCAACTGTAAAAAAAATTATAACCCGAACGTCACTCTATGGCTTGCAATGGTTCCATATATATTTAATATTTATAATTAATAAATATATATTTAATATTTTTTCTAATTTAATTTTTTAAAGTTCATATTGTAAAATTTAGTTATTGAATTTTTTTGGATTTCAGTTATAAATCCGATCGTCGTAAGCCCTACAAAGACCTGGCTCTTATCAAAATGAAACGGGAAGTCTCCGATATTCATGTACTTCCAATGTGTCAAGAAGAAGACCACACGTACCTGGGCGAACTTCTGGGTGCATGCGGTCTGGGTTCAGTATCCGGCGACAGAAGGAACCCAGTTTATCCAGATATCTTGTTGGAAACTTATTTCTATGATCAAAATTATCCAACTTCTCAGCGCGAGTTTAGTCCGGATAATTGCAAATACGACCAAATATGCACAGAACCATGGTTCGAAGGATCGAATATCTGCTACCTTGATGACGGGGGTCCCCTCTACGCTTTTGACTTGTCGACCATTCAACCCAAATGTGTACTCGGCTTAGCTAGTTATGTAACGAACGTCGGCAATGGCTGTGACGGATATAGCGTGTTTGTAAACCTTGAAAGCTTCCGAGCAAAAATTTTGAAAATTATTGAGCAATATACTTAGAGCCATAGGTTATAACAAAAAAACTGCTATTATCAGGACAAAGACTTAAAGGAACGTTACTTCTGCTTTTTGAATGTCTGAAATTGTTTCTGGTTTAAAATTTATTGAAAATTTAAAACTGAAAAATTTAAAAACAAAACGTTTTCCCACGAGCGGAGCGATATTTCAAAATTGCAATGTTACATTTTGCGTCCGGTAAGGTATTATTTGGGTTAGTTAATTCACCTGAATTCAATTTTTGACAAATTTTTGACCATTTACCATATTGGCTCAAAAATACCCTCTTTTACGCGCATTAATTTCCCGCATCCAGTTTCAAGCGTTAATAATCGATTATCTTACGACTTTAGTACCAGTCTTACTAAATTTGAAAAAAAAAATAGTTATAATCCTTTATAATTGATTATTTATTTGCATAAAAATCCATTTTAAACGATTATAATTCATTATAATCCTTTTTGTTTGTCCATTTTCTCTTCGAAGTTGCATCTGAATTGCTTATATTTAATGTTTTTTGTAGACTTTGGTTCCTATGAAAAATGAGAAAAATGTTTTTAAAGTTTTCCAATCAATTCAAATTTATAAGGTTATTTTTTCATTTATTCCCCATTAGAGTTGTTTTGTGATAAGTATTTTAAGCTTTTTTAACCACCAAAACATCCGCAAAACAATTTAGTTTCATGATTGATTCGAAAAATTTATTTTTCATCTACCGCGGGAGCTTTTCCACTAATTTGAAAGGATCTCTATGAAACTTTTGTTTCGTGGTAAAACTTTAAGTTCAGATGAACCAAAGTGTTCAAGAGATCTCTCTTTCAGAGATTTCTTATTGATACAAAAATAGAAACCCATAAGATATAATTCAAATATAGTTTTGAATTGAAAATTTTTTGGCAAAATAAGAGATTATTATCATTTATAATCGATTATAAATTATTTTAAGGGGTTTTTGTAAGAACAGAAATAAATTATAATCGATTATAAGAAGCTATAATCTCCTGGAAAATATCACGATTATAATCGATTATAAATCCTTTAAACAACTAATTTTGGTAATTATAATTAATTATAAATGTCAAAAATCATCATAATAATCCGATGTAATCGATTACTTACGCCTAAACTTGGATGCGGGTTATCCCTCTGTGACCTAAATGCCAATTATCAAACACCATTACTTTTTTGAATGATTTCAAATGAACATATGTTTTGCATACATTTCTTTTTGAGGTAAAAAGTCTAAGCACACTGAGCATCAACAGACAGGGGCGCATCTAGGACTTTCTCGAGGGCGGATTTTCAAAATTTTGCCGACCTTTTTGTAGGTCGACCAAATTGATTACCTGAACTGCCCCAAATCATTATAAACACTGTATTTTGACCAAATTTTGTGCACCGCAAGCAAATTTTGAACAATCAGACAAAAACAGGCGTTTTTAGGCACTTTTTGAAAAAAATTTTGTCGTGCTCTGAATGTATTTTGCTCACAGAAAACAACAATTTTGGAGTGAAACAAAATGCCTAAACTTTTCCTTTTTGAAGTCTGACTTATCAAACGCCAAAAAAGCTGGAAAAGATTGAACAAGATAAGCATAAAAAATTTGAACAATAAAGTTGGCCCAAAAGAGGATAAAAATTATTTGAATAAAACATATCCGACGAGATTTTAGGTATGAAAATACTAACAGCTATGAGTATTGATAGTCAAAGATTCCACTTGATTTTCGCAAAAACTGAGCTTGTTAGCAGCACAGCGGAACAGCAGCTGCGGAAAGTGCTTTAGAATTTTTTTTCTGCAAAAGAAACTGTTTAAGGAAAAAAGTGGAATATGTGATGTGATAAATTCAAAAGTGAAAACGTTGTGTGCTTGGTTAAACTCAAAAAGTTTTTGTCAGACCATTTGAAAAACGGGGAAAATCTTTGTATTCGGGTGTTTAAATTTTTCTTTTTCAAGCAAATAAGACACCACAAACAGTTATGGGAATGGGTCGAGAAAATATCATATTAACGCCATTTCAGTCGTGATTCCAACAGCATGAAATCATTTTTCTACAAAATTTTTTCTCTATTCCACTATAACTGACGAATATTTTTAAATTCTAATTTTTGGTTCAGATCTTTTTATCACAGCGCAGAAAAAAACGACACTGATTTGAAAAAAAAACAAACATATTTTTTACTATGGTCCGAGTATTCTGTGCTACTAGCACAGTAACCGGCTATTCTTAGATGTTTTAACAGATTTTGTTAAGTAAAAAAGCATTATTTTGTTTTTCGTATCAGTCAAATCTTCTATTTATATGGCTTTTATTTTGATTAGATACCTGTCAATTATGTTGTGTATCGACCATCAGTCGATCAATATCTGTGCAAAAATATCTGTCACAAAAAAAAAATTATTTCAAATAAATGTCTAATTTGTTTTATATTTTTTAGGCAAAGAGTACATTTTTGTACTTAAATGGATATACCTTCTTAATACTTCATTATGACCTTGAGTCGGGACCACAGTAATCAGTCGGGAAACAAGGAAAAAGAACGCAATAAAAGTGTACGAATGGGTAGAAAAAATCAATTGCACGAAGAAAAAATATCAACGGTAGGGACAGGGCAGGGCAGGAACCGACAAAGAGCTGCAATCAGTCCTCCAACCAGCTCTAGGAGAAAACCGGTCTTCACACAAAAAGCAGAGAATTAAATTTTTAGCGAGACCTTTAAGAAACTTTGGGAATTGGTGATTTCTGGTTTTAACAAAATTCAAAACATATTTTTGATGAGATCAACTCCTAAACAGAAAACAGTGCGAAAAGGAATGTTGTAAACAGTTCTGAGGAGCACTAACAGATTAGGACAGAAGTGCAAAACTAAAGAGGCAGGCGTCTTCATATATAAGTCTTCAGTTTCAATTCTTTTAATATGCATAGTCATGTAAAAAAGGAACATAATTTCAACATTGAAAGGAGCAACTCATGCACGAAATATGGCAAGGCATTCTCAAAGGGTTTCATTGAACTGTTGTAGTTAGAACGCAGAGAAACACAGATGGGTCTGAGAAAAGACCCCTTTTTACCTCAAGACAGGAGGAAAAAATGTGGGAAACGAAAACCATCCAAAACTGGGGATCGAAGTCACGCAAATTAATGTCCATTGCCGATATGTTCAATCAGACTGCCACTTAATCAGAATTAACCTAACAATTTATTTTTTTTTGAATGAATCAGTTTTTTTGAAAACTTTGAAGACCTATTTGTTAGTCCACAGTTAATTGAGAACGTAGCTCTGCAATTAAACAAAAAAATCCAACAATCAAGTCTGGTATAGCAATTTGAACCTCGAAAACGATCATTGCCAACTGAAATTTTTTGATGCAGCAAGCAAACAATGAAATTTCAAGAATTGCAGGCCGAAACACCACGAGTACTTCTGACTTTCAACAGGATTTTACGGACTAGCTGAATTGCCGAATGCACTTTAAAGAGTCATGAACTTATTATAAAAGGACATCCTCTTTACAAAATGCTACAATGACGATACTTTAATTGCCTCGAAAGGGTCGTTTGAAGAACACAAATCAATTTCAATCAGAATACTCGCAAGTTTCGACAGGAATAAAAAGGCAGCAAAATGGTGGAAAATTAAAAGAAAAAAAAACATAAATTCGTTAAGATTAACGATATCCAAAGCAGGGATGCGACATTTTCGCGGAAAAGCTGACGCAATACAAAGCCTTCATATGCCAAAAACAGTTCAGAGCTTCGATCAATTTTTGGTTCCGTCAGCGAATATATCAAAAGTGTACCGCACATTCAAACACTTAGCTCACAGCTCAGTCACTATTAAACAAAAGTTTCGTCTGCATATGGAACGCCGACCCCTCATATTTCAAAAAATTAAAAGCAGAAATTGTAAGTATCGCGGATTCAGCACTTTGATATTGGAGAGAAAACTACATTGAAAACTTTGCATCTCACATTGGGTTGAAAGCAGCAACGCTAGAATAACTGCAAGGGACGAGTGGAATAAAATCGGGCTAATGTTAAGGTTCACTGGTCATGAATTGATATACTCTACTTTTGAAAATCACTGCTCAACGTAACTACTTCAGATAATGACTAGAGAAAAAAATCATTATGCGGACGGTACCACTTGTCTCTAAAATCGAAAGTTTCGCTTCATGAACAATTTACCCGCATTAACTGCACCTTCAAGACCACATAGACGCGGAATCTAGTAGCGACATATCGTCAACAATCAATCAGGAGTTGAAAAAAGAACCTAGAAGACTTTGATCAAGAAATCAACAAAAACTAAATATACACACTTTTCTTAAAACTGGCAAACTTTCATGTCGTTATGTTAATCCAGTAAATTCATTTTGTGATTAGGTTCTGTAATTTTAGCTGTACATTTGCATGTACCGAGTTAGATTTGCTTAATTGTAGATTTAACGACCCTGTAAAATTGCAAAATCAACCAATTTGTGATTATTGTTCCGACTTTTGATACGAAAGTAACGGAATATTTGTGCTCGGGGTGGGTTTTTTTTCTTCAGACAAATTTCGACTTTTTAACTAGCCATTTTTGACAGAACTTTTTAATATCATTGGAAAAGTATTGTTGTCTTGAGCTCAAACTTGAAACGATTTTTCACTGTGATCTTTTTTTGTAAAGATACGGGCGTTTAAAGATTGCCATTTTGGCCAATTTGGGACAATTAACGCGCGATATATTTCGCGTTATTAACGCGTAAGCGGAGAGTAAATCCAATTAGAAATCGTTCCAAATTGGTTAAAAGAAGACTATTTGCCATCATTGATTTGTTACAAGGAGCGAAATCTATCCTTTTGCACTTTATATGGCGTGTGGGGGGATGATTTTTATTTAAAAAAAAATCAAATTTTAGAATTTTTTTCTTTTTGTTTTATTTAATTGATTTTTTTAGTGTTATTACTGCTCCATAACCTTAAAAGGCAGTCGAAACATTCAGGGCTTCGCCCTGATACGAGCAGTCTTGTTCATCTTGTACATACTATTTTTCATGTACAAGCTATATCTTG